CTGCCTTTATTCCACTGCCGCGTTATCCACATGCATTCGGAGCTCGTAGATCGCTATCGCGCTACCACCACCACGGTTTTGTCTGTTACAATGCATGACACTCACTCAACAGAAAATAGCTGGCACGTCGTTTATTCCAGGTCAGCCAGAGCTTTGGCGAACCCAAGATCATGTGCAGCGCGAGCGTCACAAGAACAGCGAGTCACACTTTTTGCTGATGATAATGATGTTAGTCTCTGAAGCCACAGCTTCTCCCTTCCGTAAAAGTTCAAACGATCAGGAGCGCGGCGCTCTCGCGTTGAGCGCCGCAAAAGTTGAGTTGCCAGAATCGGTGAATCTTTTGCGCTTTCATCCGAAAGTGCTTGACGGGCCAATAGCATGTCAGTGTCGCACGATTTGTCAACTGAAGCATTACGCTGTTGCACTTGGTCACAATGTCGCCATCCCATTCCCTCAGTCGTGTCCACTGTGATCATGCGCTTGCCCTGCTGGTCCCACACGATACCTGGTATCCACCTTTTCCGTGGCCGGAACGTTTATGTCCAGACACGCTGTCCTACCAGCCATTGCTGTTCTCGTTCATTGCACGGCTTTGCTATAACATCATCTGTGGTCGGCATAATGCAGAGGAGTTTCGTTTGTATTTGATACCCTAGCAAAAGCTCCGCTGGAGACTTGCCCTCCTTCACTGGCGTGCCGCGGTAACGAAACAGAAATCTTGAAAGTCGAGTTTGCAGTGGAATTTCTCTGTTTTTATTCAAGCCTTCCTTCAACATTTTTACGGCTCGCTCCACTAAACAATTTCATTGGGGATAATAATGTGCTGTCGTCAAGTGTTTTACTTGGTACTTAGCTAGAAAATTGCAGAAGTGGAAGCCCGTGAACTGAGGTCCATTATCAGTCACAAAAGTACGTGGTAGTCTGAACCTCACAAACACTGCTCTCCTTTCGAACTGCTTCCTCTTGTACTGGCTGCCATTTCCACGTAACTCCTTTAGTTAGCACTGAAGAACTGCTTCAATGTTGTCGTCCTTAGGTTTGAGCCCATAAGCATTAGCTCGATGTTCAAGGAAATGAGTTCTTCTTGTCTGAATTTGCACTTCGTGATGTTTAGCCTGAGACCATAGTCCCGTAAGCGCAGCAAGACTTGCTTTAGCAATGAAGTGTCATTGTGCTTCTCAGCCACTATAACGTCATAAAGATAGGCTTGTACACCCGGGAGATCCTTGAATAAGGAATCCATATGCCTCTGGAAGATTGCCGGAGCTGATCAAATCCCAAAAAAAGCATATTAAAGCAAAATGGGTCCTTGTGAGTGTTTATGGCAGTCAGCTTCTTGGCCTCGTCGTCCAGGGGCAGCTGGTTGTACGCTTGAGTCAAATCCAGGGTACTAAATACTTCGCCATACAGTCGTGCGAAGATGTCATCCACAGGAGCTGATGGGTACTGTTCAGTCACTATGGGCGTGTTCACTGTCAGCCGAAAATCTTCACACAGTCTAATGAACCCATAAGTCTTAACAACTGGAACAACTGGCGTTACCCATTCTGCTGCCATAACTGGTGATATCACACCATTGGCAACCAATTGGTCCAAAGCATCAGACACCTTGGTTGTCAGAGCGTATGGCACCGTACGTGCTTTGCGAAAGCGGGGCGTGGCATTTTGTTTCAGGATAAGCTTCACAGGTGGACCTCAACATGCACAAGGTCTTCCTTGCGCATGTTGAGGTTTGCGACGACACTTGGCCTCAACATGGCCACTCCACAATTGTAGTCCTTGATGGTATCCCTTCCGCATAACGCTTGTCCAGGTGTATCGACAATAACCAGGGTGCCCTATACGTCATGCCCCTCGCAGGTCGCTTTCATGTGTACTTCTCTAACCACTGGAAGTTCTCCCAAAAAACATGACAATTTCAGAGTGGTGCTGCTTAGAGGCAGCCATCTGCTTTGATTCTGCTTGAACAGGCTCATTGAAATAACGCTAATGGGTGACCCCGGATCGATCAACATAGTAACGGGCACACCATCCCATGTGATTTCCTTGAAAATTGGCTTAGCCATGCGGCCAGTACTCGTTTTATGAGCCAGTATAGTATAGAGCTTCTTCTCATCTTCCAAGCTATCATCAGCTTCTACCAACAAGACTTAAGCGCCAAGGGACTGCCACTGGGTTTGTTTTTGGCACATTCGAGCGACATGTCCTCATTTACCGCATTGGCGGCAGACCGTACAGACATGATAGCACTGCTCGTTCGAGTGAGCTTCACTGCTACACCTATGGCAAGGTGTCATGCCTTTTGCCTTCGATTGCCCTTTTCGTGGCCGATTCTGACACATGAATTGGATGCTACTCTGATCAATAGATTGCATGCTTCTAGCATTTGTGGCCGCGTTCTGAGCTGCAACAATGAAATCCTCTGCTTCCGTTAGCACCAGGTTCCTGAGAGTCAGCAAATGTCATCTCACATCTTCATTTAAGACTCCACACACGATTCTGTCTCGTAGCGTGCAATCGAGCGACGATCCAAAATTGCATTTTTCTGCCAATCCCCTTATTTCAACAATGAATTCCTGTACCCTCTCTCCTTCTAGTTGTGGTCAAGTAAAAAAAAAATAACTTGCAGCTATTTCGTTGACTTCCGGGGCACAGTACTCCTCGAGGTAATTAACGGCACCGTCGTAGTTAAGTACATAGATCTGCCTCGGATGGCAACATCCCTGGACCACTCGAATTGTGCTGTCGGGAAGCGAAGCCACTAACACTGCTCATCACTTCGTCGCGTCCATGATGTCTTGCGCTTCAAATTAGGCTTCGAGGCGAACTCAAAACGTTGAACACGTTCCCTCAAACACTGGTGGCTGTCCCACGCTCATGGCTCTGCAGGTGCAGGACTGGTTGAGGTCCTCGTTTTCCTCATCGCCACTGTTGAGGACCTCAACCAGTCCAACCAACCAGACACTCACTCAACAGAACATAGGTGGCACGTCGTTTATTCTAGGTCAGCCAGAGCTTCGGCGAACCCGAACTCCCGCGCAGCACGAGCGTCACATGGTCGGCGAGCTACGCTTTTTGCTGGTGACGATGATGTTAGTTTCCGATGCTACATGTGCGCGGCGGTTGCGGCAAACTGTGGTTACATTTTTAATCCATGTGTGTTGGCTACGCACGTGCCTTCAAAACTAAGTCGTTTTATGCTGTCTATGATCACATCTGCCGTGGTCTTGTCCACAGAGTTTGCAGAAATAAGTGCTGCTTTGAATGATCAAGCGTCGGACGCGCACACACTTTCAGAGTACTGTCAGTAACATCGTCACCATACATGATCGTGTCAAGAACGACCGCGGTTTCGTCCACAGTAGTTGTGGCAACAACCACATGCATTGTAAAAAACAATGCAAGCGCTGGTCACACGCTTACTTCTGAAGCTTCGAGCATGCTGCTCTCGGTCAGCCTTCGTTCGACAGTTTTGTTACTGAAGTGCACCTGACATGCCTCGTTTTGGAAAAAAGTTCAAAACATTCAAATTTTGGCCCAATAGACACATGAAAATTTAGCTGAAAAATTTCACGAATTCATATCTGCCGTGGTTTTGCATCATTGAGACTACTGTATGTTAAGATGAGCGCCTTCTAAATTCGTTTATAATAAAATGCGGTGGGTTCGCAAAAAGCCTGAAGTGGACCGACTTCCATATTTGTCAATGCGGCCAATTCATGCACAAAAAATTCAATTTCCGGGAGGTTTACATGCCAACCGTACAAACAGAAGAAACGGTCAAACTCCGGAAGCCTCCTGAAAAATCCGGAAGACTTAGCAGGTATGCCAGTATGGCAACAAATCAGACCGGCTGTTCGTTCGCATGAGCAACCAAATGAGCCAGTTGCGAGTGGTTGATGATAAGAATAGCATAGTATAAGGCAAAAGTCACCACTCCACTATACCACACCTCTATCTCGGCGTTGTCGGATACACTTTGAGGGTGGTCAGCTGCTGGTATTATGTCAGTGCAACTGTTAGGTTCGTTCACAAAAATCTGTGGCCAGTGTTTGAGCATGCTTTTCACCATGGCATCACTATTAATTGGTTAAAATCGCGTCGTGACGCTGCTGGGAAAGAAAAGGGAGCCGTCGACACTTTTTCTATTTTGGTAATAAATGTTCCTTCATTTTGCTAGATTAGACCAGCTATATTTTTCAATTTCACTGCAACGCAATTTTTTCCACACACTATGAGTTTCGTTGTACTGGGGTTTGACTGTAGTATTTCTGCAATCTTTTTACAACTGCCATCAGAATCCAGATGGCATTATCATTGCATCCAATTTTCATCCCCAATGACTCTATAGGCATGTCACTCCCTTGCACAAAACTCGTCGACTCTAAAGTGCCTAGCGGCGGCCCTGTTGTTGTTGCTTAGTGCATGATCAATCACTTTCAACTTGAAAGCAGCCATGTCGCTTCTGTAATGGCTATAATTTTCGAGGGTGCAATAATTTACTAGCAAAAAAAAATCCGATTTTCGTTGGGCAATGTGGAGGGTGCGAGAATTATGTGAATGCTAGGATTACAGAAGTAAATACAGTATATACATTATGCATCGAATTTCAACCTTAGCACTGGTCGTTGCACAAGCTTTGTAATTAGCTCGAGTGTTCTCGTCGTGCGTGCAATCTCAACAAAACTATCTCCTACAATCATGAAGTTTCTTGACCACTGAAGGTGTGGTTTGCACTGAACACTGCTGACAGTCTTAGTAGGCCTAAACCAAATACAGCAAAAGTTAAATAATACACAAGTGTAGCCGTATCATAAAACAACAGTACAGATTAGAGAGCAAGTAAACACACACAGCCTATAAACAACCATGATAAAGATGTATGTCATGCATAATGCATAAGGCAGCTAATCAAAAAGAGTTTAACTTGGGGCAGGCCCCAAGCAGCTGGTAGGGGAAAGAAGTCATTGTAAGTTGCCAATGCCAAGGATGATGATCACCTGGATATGTGAGGGTCCCTGACCAACTGTGTGTCACCCACACAGCCAGGGTTGAACCCGTAGCAGAGGCCGTTGCGGAAGGCACAATGCAGTGGTGCCGCGAGGCCATGCGCGTGCAGCAGGCGCATGTTGAGGACCTCAGCTGACCTGTCGATGAAGAGCTCTGTCTTCTGGCCATAGATGCGCAGCAGCAGCGCCTCCTCCCCCAGCTCCCCTCCACCTTGCCAGCAGCCGACCAGTTGGTTTGTGATGCCATCTGTGAACGTCTGCCGAAGTGAACATCACAGTCACTGGCTGGTCTGCTACAGAACAAGAAGCCCTTCGTGATGCTTTTGACTCGCAGAACTTGCATAAACAAAACGGAGACTTTCTTGATCTCATTTGAGAACCTTTATCTTAAAAGAAGCAAATCTACCTTAAAAGCAATTGATAATGTAATATCTTTCTACTTATAATATGGGCATGTGTGCTACAACAAGCTTTAGTCAACGTGCTAATGCTACCTGAGAACTTTAGGAAGTTGCAGTATGGCCACTATTAAGAAGTAATTGTCCGACTGGGCACTACAGAACTTCTATCCAGAATAAGAAGAGAAATGCCGTTTGTGTTTAAAGCACACACTTTGTAAACCATTTGTAAATCATTAAGTAACTGGTTTACACAGGAAAAAATACACAGTGTTGGTTGGGCACAATAATGAATGGCAGGCAGCCTGTGTCTGCAGAACTGCTTTGGGCACCCTGCTTAAGCTGTCTGTCTGAAAGTGGCAGTGCAAGAGCAATGTTCCAAAACTGTGTAACAAAACTTATCAAACAAATGTTGCTTTTCTTTGCTTCGATCTTCTGCTGCATGAGAAGAGTAGAGATTGCATGTAGCAAGAATGAAATCCAAATGTATACAGTGCACGCTTCTTTCTGGCAACAGGTGCTCTCTTCTGGACAGTTGGCAACTTTTTCTTGTCCATTCTACTAAAGGCTTCCAGAACATGGCCCATCCATTGATTCGGCATTGACGAGCATACTTTTAGACTTATCTTGACCAGAGAGTGCGTATGCAAAATTCGTCCTTGGTCTGTGGCACAGCTTAGTACATCACTGCCTCTTACTGAGACAAAGCTGTCCCCAAGCCTTTGCTTTCATATGTGTACATTTCAGATACACTTCCTTGCAACAAGACAGGATAGCAACTAACTGGGTCACCCATGAAATGGGCTGTAGAAGGCTGAGTTTATCCACAGAGCACACCCACTGGTTGAACTGGTCTGGCTCACTTTGATTGCGAATGATGAAGCATCTATCTGACTGTTTTTCATTTTCTATTCAGAGCTCAATTCTATTCAACTCAATTTGATCAAAAATTGTTTTTGATGTGACAGCTCGTTTAAAAGAAATTTTGATGTCAGCTTTGTAGCTTGCGAGAGAAAAATCATCATCTTGTCTGTGACCGATAAATTGGCAAATAAAATAAATAATGAAAATGTACAGTTCGAGTAAGAATCAAACCCAAGCCATCTATCTGCATGGCAAGCAGGTATTCTAACACATAGCCGAAACTTGCTTGAAACTGCTTCAGAAGAAAAAACTAAATGTGTTTTGTAGATGGAGGAGTCTGCTTGACCTTTTGAGATGCTACATACACAATTGTGTACACCACTCGTTTTTACTATTTTCATTTCGTAAAGTGCAAGAAAGGGCAAGATATATTGTACTTTGGATGAACTGAACCTCCTGCATGTGTACTGATACGTATGATCACTTTTGTGAAGTAATCCACTATCACGTTCGATGAGTAGCACGACGTGCCACTTCCTGCAACAATGTGACAAGCAGAAATTTTCTTTGCTCAAGATTAACATAACGAAAAATGAATTAGCACTATATTCCTAGCCTAAGATTTTATTTTATCAATACCAAACGTAAACACTTTTGACTTCATGGTAAAGAGATGTTTAATTACAACTTAATTAGTACGAACAACTTAATTAGTGTGAGTTGCTATAACACTCATAAATTCAAGAATTATCTCATCATTCTTGTTGCAATAGTATATCGAGTGCCTTGAAGTGATGTAGCAATTTAAGACATCTACAGACGGTTCATCATAAGTGGTGTCTGAAATGGTTAAAGGGATACTGGCACACAATTTCACAACTGAGATAGACTGCAATATTGATTCCCGTAAACATACATATGTCTTCTGCAAAATATTAACAGCGGATATAGCTTGAAAGGTATCCTAAATTAATTTTGAAGTTTGCATGAGCGATCGACTTCCTCACGCTATTGTCACCCTCAAAGGTGACCCTTGGTGACACGCCTACTTCCCTCATGTCACCATGCTGCAACAAGTTATGATAATGTCATAGCCACCATTTTTCTCGCCACATTTCTACCAGCACACTATTACTTGGCAGCTGCTCGCAAGTGCATGACCACAATGAATGCGTTTTGTGTTGGTAAAAATTTTATGTTTGCGGAGACTGCTCTTCCAATTCCTGTTCGAAAGGACTTGCTGATGCGGACTATATAGAAGTTTGTCCCCATTCTGTGTGCTCTTGTGGTTGAAAATTGCACACACTAGGAGGCGATAGTTACACTTGTGGCTAGTCATTTCTGGATCTCTATCAAACTGAAACTGAGACGTGTCAATAATGAGACTCCTGTAATTAATTACCTGTCACATACTACAGTAAACAATGAGCTGTGTTATGACCAACAGGCCTACAGAAACACATCGCAACAAACAACATGCGGCCAAAATTTTTGTTTACGTATGTGAAGGCAGAAGCATAGAGTTGCACTAGGCATGAAAGCATGTGAAGTACGTAATGAGTGTGTCTTTATTTAAAGGCTTACCGATTACAATGTGCTCAGACATGTTTAATCATCATCAGCTGCAAAGCATAAAAAAGTGAGCAGCTGCGTAGGTTTGCATGTTGCATCACATATGCATAGTGGGCCCTTCGCTGATATGCAAAAGAAAGAATTATGACGTAGTGGACCCTCGGCAACTATGCTCGCGACAGGCATTCTAGGATAGTTTGAAATGGCCTATGTTATCCGCACAGTCGTTCATTTTTTAACAGAATGATTGAGGCATGCACCAAAAACCTAACTCGGGCAAGAAATTGAGGTGATGCACACAGGGCCTGATAACGCTATCGTGTTTTACTCTTCAAGGTGAAACTCAAGTGTCTTCCAAATTTTTGATACAATAAATCTATGCGTGGTTCACATCTCCCACTAAACTAAGCCGAATATCACTTTTTTGCTTGTACTGAAAGAATCCTGATTTTGTGCATAGCAATGCACAATATGAATAAGATGCTTTTTTTTTTCTCAGTTCTTTCATGTTCCCTCATCTATGGAGAGGCAGAAGTGCAATTTCATGACACTACAGAAAATTACAAGACTGAATTAACCTCTATATACAAAGGATGAGAGACTGCTACAAAAAATCCATTTGTTTGAGCTAGCTATACAGCAAGCTAGAAGAAAATACTTATCTCAATTGATGTTTCCCATCTAACAGACTGAGGGCTGAGGGTTAATTGGTGTATTCTTGTGAGAGGTAGTGGCCAAATACTGCAGTGGGGTGGCGAATCCTGCTCTCATGAGGAAGTGCATTACATTTTTTGGTTGATGGTGAGGCCACACCCCGGGCCACTTTTTAAATTCAATTTGTCATCAGTTTTTTTGTTAATTTGGTGGGAAATCATCTGGCACCAGGATTTCAACCACAAACTTCTTGAATGCAAGGCTGATGCTTTACCTCTACGCTATTACTCCAGCAGCTGTGAAGAGAAAACTGGGCATATGCAAAAACCAGATGTATTAAGGGACAAAGAAAGCAAACCTACTATCGATATAAAGTAGCTGAGAAGTTCTACAAAGATCCTCACAGTAGCCTCATGATAATGTCAGTAGTAGAAGTAGTACTAGTAGCCGATCTTGATTCATAAGAAAGGGGACGCCAAGGACTTGAAGAACTACAGGCCAGTCAGCCAACTATCCTTTGTCTACAGACTATTTAAAAAAATTAAAATTAATTGATTTGTAGGATTTAACATCCCAAAACCACGATCTGATTATGAGAGACGCCGTAGTGGAGGGCTTCGGAAATTTTGACCACTTGAAGTTCTTCAACGTGCACCCAAATCTGAGCACACGGACATTTAAAAAAAATAATAGTTAATAGAATTAAGATGATTAACATTAAAGTTCAATCAATCGAACTACCACCCACACAGGATTTCGTACTAGCTCCTAGAGAACAAATCATAGTCATACTATCAATTGGGTCAGAAGGAAATGTGCAGAATACAACCAACCCCAACCCCTGTACTTGGCCAAATTGACAACACCGAGCCTGTCATCAAGGCTATAGACATGCCTGTTTTTGCCACGACATCCCAGCCATAGCAGCATCCCAGTCATAGCTATGAAATGCTCTTTTGCTGCCAAACGTGAGGGAAATTACCAGCTGGCAGATGAGCAAACTGTGCCTCGACAGTGCGGCGAGAAAGACATAAGCCTGCTGATTGGATTTGATTAACTTTGGAAGTTTGTAAGCAGGAACATCATACACTGCAGGGAAGTGCAAGAATTGGCCGCGGAAAGACCACTCTCGGGTGGACACTGGAAGGCTCGGTCGAGAAAACGAGCGTCATGGGCGGAACATACGGAGTGATGACTCGCGTCCTGCGAGTGCAAGCTCAAGAAGGCAAAGACTTTGAGCAAAGCATAATCGATTCCCTTTCCACGTTCGATGCTACTGAAATCGCACCAAAGGAAGCAACTCACGAGTGCGCTGTTACCTTGTTTGTCTTCAAAAATAAGGTCGCAAAGATTGACAAACAGTACCAAGTAGCCATGCCACAGAAACACAAGGACACCGATTTGCTTCAAGAAAGCTACAGCGTCGCAATTCATCGCTTGCAATATCTGACTAAACGTATCTCAAAGCCCGAAGAAGTGATCGAAAACTACAATATAGCGTTTCGTCAGTGTATTCTTTCCGGCCAGTCTAAGTTTTACTTGACGAGAAATCAATGAATGACTCCCATACTACTGCACACACAGGGAAGTTATTCGAAAAAAACTGCTTACCTCCAAGTTCCGTGTCTCCAACGATAAGTTCAAGATTAAGAAAAATGAATTCATCTCTAGTGAAACCATATCAGCAGCCAGAGGTATTGGAGCCGGCAAGTTTCGACGATATCGTTTCCAGATGAGAAAAGATTCAGACACTAACCCGTGGGTAGCGC